CCTCTTTTCCCGTATATTTACTGCCTTACTTTTATCGTGTGTTAAAGTCTTCAAAAGACATACGATCAAAAGACATCAGAGGGTGACGAGGGGGGATTTTGGGAGTCTTACACATTAAAAACCAAACCTACGAGTGCCGTGGTCCCGTTAGCATTCCACCGCGACTACGATGGCGTTGGATCACCCAATAGATGGTGTAGAGCAGGTACTATCTGGTTGTAGTAATTTTACTGCCTAATTTCACTATACAAACGAAACACAATTTTAATAGCTGTGTATTATTGTAAACATGTACGACATTTATTTGAAAAGAATACGAGCTGAGTTTCTTTTCAGTTCGTTTCATCTCGATATCATTCCAAACTGACGGTAGATTTGACATATCATAAGCGTCTGCAATAGATCTACATGAATAAAGATGTTTTGAATTTGAATTTGAACATTATTAGCGATCCTGATTAGCCATATATTATTATAGTTACAATTAAAAATAAAATTATTAAATTTAAATTTGGAACGTCACGCATGGAACATCGATATTATTTTATTTAACATTATATACATTTTGAATTTTTTCTCGAACATTCCGTGGCGTCCCTATTAAATTCAGTGTACAATACATTCTAAACATTTTTTATTTCAATAATACAACCAATTGAACATTGCACTATTCCTCCAGTAAACACACAGTTTACAAAGCAACTGAAGTACATAGATGAGACGCAGAAGCAGACAATTATTGTCTACATCTGGTAACCCTGTAGTTTATATGAACGTTTTAAAAGATTATTTCTATTTTCAAGTTAATTTCTCTGGCAAAGTTGTCCAATTTTATGAGTCTTCTGCGTTGGCTAATCTTGTACATTGAAATTATATTTTTATTAATGTGGATTTTAGGTTATAATTTCTTACATATGAAACAATCCATTTTTGTTAATACACGTATATCTGTTCAATATTACTATTACTATACTGGTCCGAGGTCTTGGTAGTATATATAGTTTTGATTGCGAGTTTTCCTTTTCAAACACTGTTATAATCTGCTGTGTTCTGCCACTAGGCTTTCATAATATTGGGTTGAAATATAATGATGATATCTCAGAACTGTACAAAATACCGCTATAATTCAAATATTTGTAATAAGACTATTAAGTTAAATTTCAGAGTGGAATTTTTAAACTTTGTAATTTTTTAATTCATGTAGAATACATATATAGTACAGGTACTACCTATGCAATATATGTATTCTACATGAATTAATAAGTTGTACTACCTGTGTTATACATGTATTCTTCTCCAATAGGGCAATATAATATGCATTAATGGATAGAAAATTAACTTGCATAAGTGGCAATTTTTTTTATGCCAATAAATTGCGAGGTTCAGTTTGTATTCTCAATAAAGGCAAATTGATTATCGAGTTTAACTCAATTTAGTTTTATGTAGATTATGTATTTAGATTACGATAATGATTTATTAAAAACGATAGTTTCAACTCATTCCATTACGAATCGAATTTATTTTCAATAGTTGAATTTCTTAGGAATATAATTTTTTAAATTACACGTTGAGAGATTTCTTTTTTAAATTACCGATAAAATGAAAAATATAACTATAATGGAACATATTTTGCTATCTTTGGAATTTAACTTTTATTGTTATACATTTCAATATGAATTTCATACAATCAGTTTTCGATAAATTTATACATGCCAAAAGATATTTTTAATGTACCTTTTAATAAATTCAATTTTTTATTAAAAAATTTTGAGTATAAATTCTATTACACTAGCCGATTACTTAGGTGACGGCTGAGTATATCGTTAGTTGTTCAGTCATGGGATTTTATATATGATATGTATGTATATGTAACATATTTATTATCTAAACTGTATGTTAAGACTGATTAAAAAGATAACATAAAGAATATACCAGCTACTGAATTTCACCATAGTACCATTCACTATGAACTAAAATACTATCCTGTTCATCTACATGAATGCCGTTCCTCCATCGTGCAGTTTTCTAGAAAATTTTTCCACACACAACCCTATTGTAGAATCACCTCCCAGCAATCATATTTCCGAACCGATATGATATTGAAACCTTCAAGAATAGAGTTTATTTCTTCTTAAAAGGCCGGCAACGCAATTGCCCTGATCTGCTCATGGGTGACGGTAATCACTTACCATCAGGTGAACCGCAAGCTCGTTTGTCCACTGTACTATAAGCCTTCTTAAGTTGAAGTTGTTGGACTGGACGATAGGGATAATGGTAAAATAATCTTGATGTTCTTGGCACAAGTGTTTTATATGAATTAATAATTCTGACATGCACTTTAATACTATTTACTTCAATATTATTTTACTTAATATTTGAATGTATTCTATACAGATAGCATAAATGACGATTTACGCCGAATTTCGCTAAATCATGGCGATTTTTGGGGATTCCAAATTGACCTAGATAACGCAAACGGGAAATGCAATTTGCGAGCAGCTCGCTTGCATCCGACGTAATAAATATTGTATAAGTATAGCAATAATAATTCACTCGCAATTAGTGTAATAGAAAATAAAATAACCATTCCATTTTACAAAATACCTACTAACGTAGCTTGTTTATTTGCAAGTCCGTCATTTAATCTTTTTGTGTACTTAATATTTCAACTCTAATAAATTAGTATTAGTTGGTAGTTTGTATTCACACATTTTAAATTAAAAATGTAAAGTTATATCAATTATTTACAAGTGCAACACGTAAGTTTATTTTTCGTTCTGTTGTGTTGAGATAGTTTTCCGAATGAGCGGTAGATTAAAAGAAATAAGAATATTAGTACTATTAAAAAGTGCTTAAACTTAAGTATTTGAATACAATTTTCTATTTTATTCTTGTCATCAAAGGAGAAATGTGCATAGTGTTGTTTTAATAAATGAAATTTCTTTGATGTCATATTTTAAATATGTTATACTTAAACTATGTCAACAAAGAAATGTGGGACAACTCTTCAATATAACCTGTCCTACGCAGTATGATCAAAATAGACCATTTTATAAGGCAATTGCCTTCTAGAACTAAAGTGCAGACCTCGCTTAGTATTCAGCTCGCTACGCTGCGCTATTAACATGTCTGTCTTAGTTGAATTAGTATCAGGACGTATCTGCAGTAATATCCTGTCATTGGTAACGCGTTTATGTCAATCTACTCCTAACTACATTCAATTTAGCCCTTGGCCCTAATACCATTTAGACGTTGATCTGACAGATGTGTGAACACGTTTTGTCCGTTCTCTACATATATAAACTATAAGTGTGCGAAATTTCATACACCTCTATAAGCGCAATTTTTGTAAAAGAGGTACAAAATTTTTGTTTGTCACATTAATTATTAACGCGGAAGTTTGTGAGCGTGGATGGATGGATGGATGTTTGTTACTCTTTCATACAAAAACTATTGAGTAGATTTTAATTAAACTTTACAATAATATAGCTTATATATTAGTATAACATATAGACTATAAATTTCACGCGGTGTCATCATGTCAAATTTATTTATATCAGAATATCATATATTTACATAGTATAAAATGAAGTCACTTTCACTGTATGTTTGCTTAGATCTTTTAAACATCGCAATGAATTTTAATGCAGTTTTAAGCAACAGATGGAGTGATTAAGGCGGAAGGTTTATATGTATAATACAAGGCCAAGCCTTAATACAATCCAGACGTTGATCTGACAGATTTGTGAACACGTCTTGTCTGGACTGCGAATTTGCATTGCGGGAATTTCCTACGGTTTTTTTATGATGCGACTTTCGTCGTGTCGTCTTAGGTCGTGGGTGCAAATCTGACACTAAAACTTTTGAAATATTTCTAAACATTGCATTTTAATTTATATTTCAAAAATTATACTGCAATTTACATTAATACATGTCCATTATGTACATTTTAACTAGTTATTCATTCTGTTATATTTAATTAGTTCTATTTTTTCGTAAGCCTCAGTGGCCTAGTCTTATCTCCAATGGTCGTGGGTTTAATTCCTCGTACGGTACAAACATTTGTATTCAGGATTATGATTGTTTGTATTGGTCTGGGTATTTTCTACGTATGTATTACGTACGTATGTACGTATTAGGCATGCATTTATAGACAAAAATGTGTTTAAGTAAATGTAACACTTGTCTAGTAGCCATAACACAAGTTTTTCTTAGCTGAGGACTAGATGGCGTTCTGTAAATTGTCCTGGGTTAATATAACTAGTGGTCGCCATTGGTCTATATTCGACCATATTTAATTTAACATTCTGGAAGACTATAGACAAATAATATTAATCTATTCTCAAACTGACTACATATTTTAACAAAAAATAAAATACTGTATTTATGTGAGTATGTGTAAAATATTTGTGCGTAATGTTTTTTTTTCTTAATATAATTAAAAAAAAAATTGCATTCTTCACTCCTTTGTGCGAAATTTCATACTAATTCGTCATTTCGTAAAAAGGGTTAGAAAGTTTTTGCTTTTCGTATTAATCTTACTAATATAATAATGACAAGGTATGTTTGTTGTGTAAAAACTACTGATCCAATCATCATGAAATTTTGTGTTCTTGAAGGTATTTGAATGAACATAGGATTTTTATTAAATAATAAACAAATATTTAGTTATAAAAAAACATTCAATGCGAGTGAAGCTGCGGGTAAAAGCTACTATTATCATAAACGCGGAAGTCTCTAAGTGTGGATGGATGGATGGATTTTTGTTACTCTTTCACGCAAAAACTACTGCATAAATTATAATGCAGCTTTAATAGCATACATAGAGTGATTAGGGCAGGAAAGTTTATATGTATAATACATGTACACTCGTGCGAAGCCGGGGCTTCGCACGAGTGTACATTTAGCTAGGTTGTCATAATTTAATCTGTGATTATTAATAGTAATTCAACGAACGTTTTTTTCTTGGGTACAACTAGTATTTATTATATTGTTTTTAGGAACTACCAGTTGGATGTCGCGGGTGGGTGTGTTCCTTCTTCGACGCACGTCACGTCCGCGAGACGTTGACGGTTGCGTTCAGGAGCGGCCCCCGACGCAGGCGGCTACGGGTGTCCTTACTTATAGTGGTTGTGTGCGTCATATTCGGACCTTTACACGGTAAGTCTATATTCTTTTTATATAATTGAATTTGCAAAAAGCTGACGATTTACCTGTGAGAATGAGGTAAACGCAGGCTATACATATGAGCAGCACTAGAGCCGTCCCTACAGTATAAATGTTAAGTGAGAGGCACTTTTAGGTTTACCAGTATGTGTTGATTTCATATTGAAAGTGTAAAACGCTATGTTCTTATGGCAGCTGTGGTTTGTATTACAACTTCTTAGTCTCATTGGTTTTAACATTGAATGGCGTCTCTCGTTTTTTTGTTATAGTTAGTTAGATACTAAAATGTAGTATTTTTTTTAATAAATTAAATTTAAGTTAAAAATATAAATATATTGTGTGCCCGCTGGATGCGATTACCGTAATTTTCTGAATTAATATGTTTATTATTATTATTTATATATTCTTGAAATTCTTCGGTATTATAAATTAGACTTACGGTTCGTATTGACCAAGTAATTATTATTATTAATTATTATTTCATATGTATGTTAGTCTATTAAGGTATTTACTAATGGACTACAGACAAAAGAAACTAATGTAAGTAAATCTATCAGTTGTATAGTACCCATAACATAAGCTCAGGTTAGCTTGAGACCAGATGACGCTGAGGAAATTGTTAAAAGTTATTATTATTATTACTTTTAACTGTTGAATTCACTACTAAAATCATGTTAATTTGTTAATAAGTTCTGTTTTTCTAGTATTTATCAATTGTTTTATTTAATACAAGCTGATTAGCGCAACTTCAAATTAGTCACAATTTCTTCGTTTTTTTCTTTTTACGTATTTCCGTACTATTTACCAAAAAATGGTACAAAATCTGAGAAAATATGACTTTCTGCTTCTATTGGTCGCTGCGTGATGTTATATTAAACATCTAAATACATAAACTTTACCTTAATAATAAAAACACAATACTTTTTTTTAATCAATAACTAATTACATCTTTATAATATTAGTAAATAATAGATGTTATTTTGATCTGTACAGGTGAGATGAACGTGTTGTACCTGTTCATGAGGTACAGATTCAACTGGGACGAGGTGCAGTTCAGTATGTTTTGTACCTACAGCATTATCACTAATCTAGTAGGTATGTCTATAATTATATATATAAATATTACTATTTAATAATTTGCAAATTATTTATATCTGTGATTTTAATAATAGGTAATATAAGTTTATGCACACTGATACCTTAAATTCGTAAACGTTAATACGTTTTATATATTTATAGTAATATTATATATTTATAGTAATATTATATGTTTATACACAATAATTATTATATTTATAAAAACTAACAGGTTCTATAGATTCTATAAGTCTATTTTCGTTACTTTCTTTCAACAAACCAGTCAAAATTATAAAAGTTATTTTTCCGTCGTTAAAAATAACACGAAAGAATAGACAAGTTAATACAATAAAATTCACTGAACAAAGAGGTCTACTTATTTTGTTATATGATAAAATTAGACTTATGGCGTTCTAGTAAACAAGAAAGCGGGCCTATATCCGACAAGAATCTGTTGTAGTATTTTATCTCAAGATATTATGTGCTACAAAAGAAAACTGTTAAACAGTTGAATTTTAGTCACATCAATGATTAAGTTACTTCTATTATTACTTGTTGTCATAATTTCCTATAACTTGACATTTTCTTAATTTACCGTAAAATTTTCAAATTGTGCTAAGTTATTATGAAAGATTTATAGCAGCCGACCGGCTAGGAGTTGCAAATTTATGTTAACGCCGAAGTTCAGGCCTATATTGATTTTATTACTGCTCTAATTTACAATAATGGTGCTGTGACGGCCTTTATTAAAGGGCACCAGCCAGTAGTGATTACTAAATCAAAATTATTGGAAAATCTTTATATTAATTAAATATATTATAAATACTTAATGTTAATTAAATATATTATAATTAAAAAAAAAAAATATGGGAAAAGTTCTGTTAGTAAAAATTTTGAAAAATTGGTATTCAGTAAATTGTTTATACTAAACTAACTTACCCCGCAAACGTTGTTTTGCTATTTAAATAATATCGCTATTACAAAATAGGGGTTGATGGTAGAAAGATGAAAAATTAGGGTTGTGTATATTTTTAATACGACACATTAAAAAATTAAAATATTTATTTTATACATAAATCAAATAAAAATTTATTGACGGGTTACCCTTATCATTAAGAGGTATGAAAAATAAATGTTAGCCGAAAGTCAAACCTACCGGATATGCACACAAAGTTTTATAAAAATTGGTAGGTAAAGCCCTTAACTGCCGGTAATAGCCGATAACAAACACTAGGACACGAGAGTTTTGTATATTAGATGTTAATACAATATAACAATTGTTAAAAATACACACAATTATGTAAGTGATTGGAAAATATTTGTATTGACTAAAAAGTATTAATACTTACTTTGAATTCGTAAAATTTTAAATTAATGCACAAAATATGGTATTTAGTTTAGGATTAACTTGTTACTCAACTCTATCACGAAAACAATCATTACCTTATATAAGGTTTGTCACGATTTGATTATGGAAAATTTTTAAATCGCATAGCCATAATATATTAATAGTGGCGTCTAGAGTAATGGTATTCTTCTTAGCACTATAGATAAGTCACGTAAGAACATTAAAACATCTTCAGGTTGAATACAGTACAAGCTTCACTCCAAGCTTGTAATAGATATTCTGAAATTGAGTCTTTATATATCTGGAAAACAATATCTTTGTAAAAATTGAAATCTGAAGTCCAGCCCAGTCATTTTATAGAATAGAGTAGAAAATCATTTATTCAAATAAACTTATATTGAAGCACTTTTGAATAGTCATCACTTTTTTTTAATCTACCGCTCATTTGGAAAGCTGTCTCATCACAAGAAGAACGAGCAAGCAACTTGCAAAAGAGCAACTCTTTTAAATAATTTTATATCATATACAGGCTTACTCAAAACTCAAATCTCGTGCAAAGAATCATCAGAATACTTATAATTATCACGTAAAGTACGCAACAATAACTGGTCGATTTTAAATTGTTCAAGATCTATTGTTTTGTTTGACGATTAAATAACTATTATTATTGCTTACCAGGTACTCTATTCTCCATCAGTATCTTCAGTGACTTCATGAAGTTAGACGATACAGTTGTGGGCATCATATCCTGTACCAGCAAGATCCTCGCTTCATTCATATTCGCGTTCGCAACCACCACATTGGAAATTTATATAGGTACTCATAGATTTTTCATAAATATATAATTTATAAATAACCCTGGACAATTAATCTAGTCCCACGGTAAGCGTGCATTATTAGCTTGTGTTATTGGTTCGAGACCACTGATATAATTTTCTTTTGTAAATATATACATAACTAGCTTTTGCCCGCGGCTTCGCTCGCGTTAATTTATTCCCTTAGAGGTGGAATTTATCCAAATCCTTGCTTAGGGGATGCCTACGTCATAGTAGCTTTATGCATGTCTCAGTCCGATCTGTTTAAAATTGACAAAGTTTCATACAAATTTCATCCCCTATTTTATCCCTTTGGGGGTAGAATTAATCAAAATTCTTTCTTAGCGGATGCCTACGTCATAACATGTACCTGCATGCCAAATTTCAGCCCGATCCGTCCAGTGGCTTCGGCTGCGCTTTGTTAGATCACTATGTCAGTCAGTCACCTTTGAGTTATATATATTTAGATAGAGATGCATACCAGACTGATAATACAAACAATCATAATCATGAATACAAATATTTGTACATGCGAGGAATCGAACCCGCAATCATCGATAGTAAAACGGTGTGCTACACCACTAGATCACTCTAGCCGTGGGAAATTTTATTTGTAGATTAGGTAAAATTTATGAAATAAACGTTATTGTAGTAGAAAATGTCATTGTACAGATATTATCGATCGTCAAGAACTTCAGTAGGCGTTGAAAGCAGTTTGAATCGACCGTGTATAATTATTTTTATTTGTTTTAGCTCCTCTTGTGGAGATTTTTAATGGCACCTCGTTCATAGCGATGAGGTCTATCGCTTCAAAACTGGTGACTAGTGAAGAATTGGGTAAGACATAATTTTTGGTATAGTATAAGAATTTTGTAAAAAAAAGTCTTAGTATGGGCATATAATGCTTAGGTTTGTAGAGATTTTTTAAAGAAAGTGTTATATATAATTGTAGACAATTAGAAGAGCCAAGGAAGGATGAAAAAAAGATGGACTCTGTGAAAAGTGATATGGAAACTGAGATGAATGGAAGAGAAAAACATTACAGCGTCCATACTAGGGATAAAGAAAAGCAGATGATAAATAAAATTTTGTTGAGATATTTGATATATTATCTGCTATTACTCAGTCACGCCTTAAAGAAAAATAGATTATAATTTATAATTGAATGGTTAATGGTTGGTTAATACTCTATGGTTCTGTTGGTGAGGCTTACTATATTGTAATAATGTTAGATATAAATATGTGGAGGTAGAGTTTTATAAAATGGTAACATTTTATATTAAATGCATGTATTTCACACTACATGTTATTACATATTCTCAAGTATTATATAAATCTACCATTCTCAGTTCAATAGTAGATTTTTACAATAATTCAGTAGAATAGAACCCTCGGTCTCAACTTTTGAAATACATACTAAACCATTGTGGCAGTTACGAGCATTATTTGTGCCTCGGCGACAGAATTTCATTCATGAGCGCTATTAATTTTCCTCGTGAAATTAAATTTTCCCCTAAATTAATATTATCTATTTTGATTGGCTTGTCATTCTCGAAAACTTCCTTCCTGAAACAAGTACTTTCGTGGAATCGCAATCGAAAACTCGTGTAAACTTACATACCCATCATGCTTATATACATATATCTATATATATGTATATAATTTATATGTACATATACATCTATATTAAGATCTTCTCATTAAGATTAAAAACAACATAGATATGAAAATGTTATGCCGAGAGTTTTGTTTGTTTATCTATTTACAATGTTATTATTTCATATTGCATATTGATTAATAGTACTTATCTCATTAGTAAAGATATTAAAAATACTTTATTGCCTGTATGCTGTTACGTCGACGTGTGTGTATGTGTGTTAATTGATTTATAAAACCGTTTTCTATAGGGTAGGCAGAGATAATCCACTGGCATTATTTTTTATCTCTTCGTTTATTACTAATAATTCTGATAATATATATGTATAAACCTTTGAATCTAATCATAAATAACATTATTTACCAGTTCTAGGCGGCGAGATAAGAATGCGCTAATAATTTCTATTTTTTTTTTCGGACAACTCTAATGCTGTTGGCCGCAGCTGGCCTTTACAGCTTCACCGGACGAGTTACTTCTATAATGAAGATAGACCTGTACCTATCTGTGGAATAATAAAGATTTGTTATGATGATGAGGAAATAAATCGTATTGAGTTAGTCTTTGTAGAATGTCGTCTGCGTACGCCTTTATCTGACCTATTTGAATTGCTATTAGTGTGAGATAAGGCAGGGAAATTACGGGGTACGAAGGCATGACACCTTAGTCCTCCAGAATGGCAATGCATAAGTGGTACGGATATTAATTACATCATGGCGTGATATCTTTGCCGCTGTTCATATATATAGGCATAGGAGCTGTCAGCTTGTTTGCCATTCCAGGCATTCCAGGCGTTCGTACTATGAGCTCAATCGATAGTCAGCGCTGGAAACTATGTTTTAAGCATTATGTTGCGTTATGGTACATTGGCTGTGTTTTGTAATGTGTGTAAATTATCAGTTTTTTTATGGCATTATTGTTGTGTACGAAGTATAAATTGTACCTATTCTATTTTATTTTATGATGTCGAATCGTGATTATTCAATATTATACGATATATCATGTACACACAGAGTGCTATTTGCGGTTTTGTGAAAACATTGTCAAATGGTTGAGAGTGTCAATTGTATATATATTTGTTTTGTCAATAATTACATAGTTTTATAAATATATGGGTTTTTCTATAAGGAAACTTGGTACATATACTAAAGCACAAAATATTTCAACTGACTTAAAAAATGAATACACTTGTCTTCATTTTTGAAGTCAGTTGAAATATTTAATAAATATCTCCGGAAAACTTATACCTTAAATTATAAATATCAATAATTAGGTATGGTGTGAGCATTTTTTCAAATACACTCCTTACATTAATAATATTGCTACTATAAATGTGCGTACAACAATCTCTTAACGAATTAATTTTTTTTTTATAAAATCATCTCTCTTTTGCAGGTAAAGTAAACTCCCTATTCGGCTTAGCTGAGGCGATGATGCCATTAGTGTATGGGCCGTTATACTCAAGAGTATACATGGCAACACTGAATATACTGCCAGGCGCAGTGTTTTTGTTAGGTGCGGCCATGACGGTACCAGCCGTTGCAATATTTGGGTAAGTATTTATTTATAGGTCAATTATTAATATTTTTTTATTACACAAATGTAATTATAGAAAAAGAGAGAGACGTGGCCTAGTGGTTTACTGTATTACGCCTAAAAGTTCTAGACTGGCCGACACAAAAAACATGTGTTTGTCAATTTATATTTAGTACTAATTCATCAGTGTTGCAAACACCGTTATCAAACCAAAAAATAATCAGAGAGACGGCGGCAGGCTCCGGCTCTGATATGTTGAATACAAAAGATACCCAATGAAATGTGATACCTAAGTCATATGCGTTCACCATGACTTCGATACTTAACAATGTCTTTGCCTACCCCATCTAGAATAAAAGTCGCTTCTGTATGTTTTATTTTTCTTTATTATATGAATGAGTAAACAATTTGATTTTAACATTCCACAGTTCGAGTCTTGATTTAATGCATTCCAAAAATGAGTACTAAGTTATTTCCTTGTTATAGGTGGATGTATTTCGAGCAGAGAGAAGACAACAAACAGACAGACGAAACTGAGAATACCAACAAAGAAGTGTAACTCTGTCTATATATAATAATAATAGGTACCTATGAACATTCAATTGTAATGGAAAGTGTCAGTGAACGATGCGTTGTACGTGTGAAATGTCTAATAAAAGTTGTCTAATGTATGTATTTTGAATTTGCAATCGTAAAATGATCATCATTCGTCTATAAACATTCACATGTCGTTCAATGCGATGATCTGACATCATTGGCTTAAGATGTTTGACTTTAATAGCGTTTGTTTTTCTGAGTGTTTGTATACGCATTAAACAATGATATGCCAACGTAAAGACCTGTTCACACGACAGTAGTTTATAGTAACGATTTATATAGGCTATTTATTGAGCTACTATATCCGTACGTATAGGATACCTGTGTAGATCGTTTGAATAAATAGACAGGTACATGTTATTGGAGACAGGTACATATTAAAAGAGTAGATTTTTTTTATAGGTAGTGTAATTAATTAGCATTTTAAAAGATCATACTCTCATATATAACATTATTTGAGTTGAAATTTGCACATTTCAATTTTGATTTAAATACAAATGTAATAATTATGTTACATTTGATAATTAGCTCTCACTTTGATTTACACGCTACGATAAAACTGTAAAAACGATATGGACAACGATTTTTTGTCTTGCTTTAATTGTTTGCACTTATGAAAAAATCTACTTAATATTAATAATAATAACTCTGGACACTTAACATAGCATCATCATCACTCCCTATTCAAGAATACAATTGTTTGCTTCGTGCGAGGAAATACACCGTCACGAAATCAGAATCGATACCTATCTAAGTCCAAGCACCTATTTTCGTCCATATATTCGATAAAACAGCATAAATGAACTGCCTTGACAAAAGGCTACGATGAATCGTTATCGTGTGGACTAGGTTTAAGTTTATTTGCTTAGATAGTGAACAATAGTTTGGAAGACTCCCGCTCGTGACGGAGACGATCACAGTAATTCAATATTCAACATGTTATCGATTTATTTGTCTTTGTACAGTCTTGATGTGCACTTCACTTTAATACAGTCATAACAACAATGTATATACATATTAATATATCAAATTGTAACGCCCTATGAACTAAATAATTGCTTTACTTGTACTACAATCATGCAATAACATATTGAAGTTTAAAATAGTAAAGTAAAACTATTAAAAATGGAAAAAACGGAAAAAGTAGAACTGGGAATTCAAGGCGACACGACCGAAGTTTTGCCGTTAAAATCGGAAACCAATATTGCGGTCCAAAACATGAGCCTTATTGAAAAAATAAGGTATGTGAAGTCGAATATTACCGTTGAGCCGGTGTTAGCTTTATTCGTGATGCCCAGTGTGCTAGCAATGTTGGCCACACAGAATTTGAATTTGGATAAGGCTTGCCGAGTGAATTTGGGATTTAGTGATGGCGTATGCGAACATTTGAGGCTGAGGAAGCGTGCAAACCATAGTTTTGAAGAGGACGAAGTGCAGAAATTGATCGCTTCTGTACAGGCATGGAAAGGCGCGATTCAAACCATAATACCAACTATATTAATGCTGTTTATAGGCGCATGGAGTGACAAAACGGGGAAACGAAAAATTTGTATGCTAATGCCAATCTTTGGGGAATTCATGACGTGTCTATTGAATATGGTGAACACGTATTTTTTCTATCAGATCCCTGTAGAATTGACGGTGGTTATGGAAGTGATATTTCCAGCGTTGACGGGTGGATGGTACACTATGATTCTAGGCGCATTCAGTTATCTAGCTGATGTGACCTCGAGAGAAACAAGGACCTTTCGTATTGGTATTCTAAACTTGTGCATGACTGTAGGATTTCCTGTTGGTATGGGCTTGAGTGGGGTACTCTTGAAACGCTTCGGATTTTATGGCGTGTTTACCATATCTGCCACATTGCAGTTTTTAAATTTTTGTTACGTTATGTTTGCTATAAAAGATCACACTTGGCTGGAAAATAAAGAAAAGGTTCGTATTATTATAAGCTACTTATTTATTATTCTTATATACAGGATCTAATATACATTTTTTTCTAATTTAAAATATCGACAAGATTGATAAACAAACAGACGGATACACTGTCACATTTCCAATTTACAGTTGAAAATTGACATACAAAGATGTTTTAGTGATAAATTTGGCTAATAAACGGCCAAAATGCTCTCAAATCTTTAAAGAAATTGAGCGTTATATTTGTTGAAACTTATACTTCATTACTATTTTTATAAAAAAAACAACATATCAAAACACTGTATGTTTTTATTAAGAATTGGATCTTAAAAATAGATATTCATTGTTTTTAAAGGTGAAACGAAAAGGATGTACAGGTTTTCTGCTAGATTTTTTTGATGTAAATAGCTTAAAAGAAACATTGGAAATAGCTTTCAAGAAAGACACAAATAATAGAAGAACAAGAATATGCCTTATTTTGACTGTCGTTTGTTTGACATTTGGCCCGATGTGGGGTAAGTACTCATTTTCTTTACATATGCAATTAGATTGGCATAATAGCGCAAACCTTAGAAAATGCAATGTATGAAAGATGCAATTGGCGTCTCACGTGATGTTCATGCAATATATAATAATGATATTTATTTAATGCAAAAAGCTCTACATCTACATGTAATCTCAGTTTCTGGGGAAAAAAATAAAATTAAATGAAATGAAAATTTAGTTGACATTGAAAAGAAAGAAGAAGAATGTAATAAAACACAATCACATATTTGCATGTGTACACAATTTTGTTAAAGAAAACAAAAAAGATATGAATTTGTTAAACTACATACAATATCTGCTAAACTAATTAATACAAACAGAGTAACCTTAGAGTACATTCTGGGAAAATGGGGCTAACTTAGCTGGTTCTGAAAGTTTTAACTTTTACTCTTACGTTTAGCGCTGATAATATTATATAAACAATCAGTTCCTAATTGTATTAAAAAAATACTAATAACGAATGTTGCTTATTAAACAAATTAGAGGTTATATATAATTTGAGTAACAGTGAAAACAAAAAGAAATGATAAAATCATGTCGCATTGGCTTGAAAATATATATATATATACTTTTGTTGTGTTGGCCGTCAGCTTATTTGATAAAAAAATCGTACTTCCAATAATTTAATAAGAAAAAATACCTAAGTTTTTCTTACCCTATTTGATAAAACGAAGCACTTCAATACATATAAGAAAAACACTAACAGAATATATTTTCTCCGAAGTATTTCTAATTTCTTTTGACGTACTCCAATCTCTTTTTGTACCTTGAAAGAATTCTATGTAATACATAATGTATCGTAGTAATTCATTACTTAATATTAACAAGTTGTCGCCTGGTGGTCGAAATTCGACGATAATTAATTTAACATTAATTAAGACCATAGACAAATAATATTAAAGACAATATTAATCTATTCTCAATTTGACCACAGACTTTAACAATAAACAAAAGAGTATATATGTTAGTCAAATACATGGTAGTGTGGGTAATATTTTTTTATTGATCTAATGTATTTTTATGTATAATTCACTCCTTCTTTATCTATACATATAAATAAAACTGGAGTGTCTGTTTGTAATATTGAAATAACAGTTTTTTACTACATGCATATGAATATGAATACGGTACATACACCAAAATAACATTTTTTACAATTTTTGTCTGTCTGTCTGTTTGTTCCGGCTAATCTATGAAATGGCTGGACCGATTTTAACGGGACTACTTTTTGGCAGGTAGCTGATGTAATAAGGAGTAACATAGACTACTTTTATTTTAGAAAATAAAGTTAAATAACGCGGACGAAGTCGCGGGAACAGTTAGTATAAACTATAAGTGTGCGAAATTTCATACTTCTCCGTCCGCGCAATTTTTGTAAAAAGGTTTTAATATTAACTTAGCTACATAAAGGTAACAGTAAATTAATTCGTTAGTAACATTTCACTACCCAAGTTCGGTTATCTGTATATAATTTCTCGGATTACTCCTTTACGTCGCATTTTGTAAGTTTCAGTTGCCTGAAGTGTAAACAGGTCACTTTTTTAATGTTTTAAATTTATTTTAATATTTTCGTAGTGTTAGGGAAAATACTCTCTGCTACCAAAATGTTAGGGAAAGTACTATGTATATATATAGGGAAGCGTCTGTCACATACCTGTATGGTTCTGCGGGTTTCTTGGGCTTCAGGGTCTCGAAGGATGCTTTCCAGTTTCACAGTAGGTTTAACACAGATTTCACAACACAATGCGCGCGCGCGTCAAGGCCGCTGAACGGTCAGTTCAGTACTAGGTAAGGGTGGGGTCAACTGCGCGGGAACAGGACTCTAATATAATAATCATGTGCTTACGATGAAAAGATTTTGAACACGTAGATATATTAAAAATGTAGTGTTTTTTATTAAAGTTTATACATAGGTACATATCTAAATAGCTATTAACCTTAATTTTGTCAGTGTGGTTGTGTTTTATAATCTGTATTTATTATGAATGCTTCTTTTATATCCATATAGCTGTTATTGTACAGTAACATATTATAGAAAATTGTAAATTGTAACAGGTGAGCTCGGTGTTACATATATATTCTCGCGGTATCGTTTCAATTGGGACGAGGTAAAGTACAGCATATTTTCCACCTACAGTCTCATCACACATGCCATTGGTAAGTATTGCAAATCTTTATATTGTTAACTTTATCTTTACAAAATCTTTAGAAAGAAAACTGTGTTTGCTTATATGTTAAGGCAAAAACGATAGGACAAAATTTATATGAAATTTATTGTTGAATAATATAATAATAATTATTATATTCTTGGACAATTCACACAGCGCCATTTGGTCCCAACACGCAAGCGTTACAAACTATCATACTCTCGAATACAAATGTTTGTACTGTGCAAGGAATCGAACCCGCGACCATTGGAAATAAATCGGTGTGCTAAACCAATAGACCACCAAGACCGTCAAATATGCGGTCGTAAGAAGAATACTAAAAATTAAAAACGTATTATATTTTGATGATATATAAGAATTAGAAGTGACCCGTTTTTTGTTTTTAAGTTAATTAGCATACACATACAATATTTAGTATCTACTTATAGTCATGGGGCCTATACCATCCCATTGAGTATGACTTTTATTTTTATACTATGATGGCAATCAAGCATACGGCCCATCTGATGGTAAATGGTTACCGTAGCCTATGAACGCCTGAAACACCAGGGGTATCACGTGCGCGTTGTCGATCCTTAAGAAACCTTAATATACCTTCTTGAAAAACCCCATGCTGTAGTCTCGTGGAAAAACCTCGGCAGGAAGTTCATTCCACAATCTAAGTGTACGCGAGAGGAAACTCCTCTGATACCGCACTGTTTGAGACCACTTAGGTTCCAGCGTGTGGGGATGAATTCCCTGTCGATGGCGCGCGGTGCGGTGGTAAAAGGTGGCTGTCGGCATCATGTCGAACTCCTTAGACTATTTTATTACAGTAGCCAGAACAGACAAATGACATTAAACATATATTCTCAATTTCCCCAAGAGAACTCTGCGCGTTTTTTTCCCAAATAAAAAAATTATATCGAGCTATATGCACTTCGAAATAATAATTAATTTTGGTAAAAATAATTCACAAATGCGGGAAAAAATGGCGCGAAATAACATACGCTGATAAAATTTGCATTGAATATTTCGAGGAGATAATTCACATTGCGAATAAAATATAATTTTTACAGGATATATTCAGAAAAAAATAATTTCAATGCATATTAATCACATTGTTTCTCTTACGGTCAATAAGTACTGTGAATTTTTGTTCGCATTTGCTTGCGAACGTTTCTCCGAATTACGGCGAAAAAAAAATTGAAAATATTTATTATTATACATGATTACCTATTTTACTATCTATAGGATTTTCGTTTGTCTTGATACCACACTATTTCTGCGTACAATAATAAATCTCTCAACTGATCATGAGGTTGTTGGGAGTAGAATTTGTAATTCCTTACATAGTACCACAGACGATATTAAAGTTACGTACATTATTAAAATTTTGTAACTTGTAATTTCTTTTATTATAATAGCCCTCTGGGTATTACATACCTCGTATATTGTAATACGAAAGAACGATCAAAATTTGTAGATGCACAAATTGACAATCTTCTTGCAAATTACAAAAAATAAATATAGTATTACCTTGCATTGCATCGGTTGTTGTAGTTTTTTTTCTATTATACAAAATATGTGAAAATACTTACTAAGAATATTTAAAATTCACTGTTACGAACAGGTACATTATTCGCCATAAGTGTGTTCAGCAAGAAGTTGAAAGCAGACGACGCTGTACTGGGTATGATATCTTCAACGAGCAAGATCTGTGGCGCCTCCGTAATGGCTTTCGCCAGAAACGACTATGAAGCGTATCTATGTAAGTACTTCCAACTTTGCCAACGAAAAATTAATGTGCGTTTGATATTCAGCAAAATTGAACTTTGTTCCTTCTGATTTAGTGCACCTTGGTAATCCAGGTTCCATGTTATGGATTGTATGAAGATTGGATGACTATGACGATTCAATTTTCCCTTGATAGCAATGTCTAACAACAATAGTTGTTAACACAACTTCTAAATATGGAACATTAAAATGGAATTAGGTAACAATGAGCAAAACAATTCAAAAAAGGAATGCTCATGAATTCTAATTGTATTCGAAATTTAATACATGAAATAAAATAATTTATTTGAATTTCCAATTAAATAATTATTTTTATTTTTTCATCTTCGGGCTCTCGATTTCTATAAATAAATATACATATGTATTTATATATAAATCTTTTTTGTAATCTGTAGCGTAGTTTTTTAAATGATCTGTAGCTGTAGATGACGGGCTTTTTTGTATTTATATCTATTAAATTCATTTTAAACGTAACTATGTATTGCTTTACTGCCTAGTTTATTGCACTCTGAAGTAGGTTTGCATCACATAAATCAAAATACTTTCTAAATGATTAACACGCTTCATTTGCAAGTACTTGTTACCATAGATTGATTAGTTTGATGATTTTGTCTGCATGAGGAAGTGTGTCTCAAATAAAATGAATGCTATATTTTCTCTGCCAAATCACAACCTACAACGCTTACAAAGCAAACAGCTTAGCGGCTAAAATAGGTGTTGCAAACTCTTTCCACATTTTTATATGTTTATTTTTCTATAAATTTTAAATGTATTTTCTTTATAGAATTGTCATAAATTTTTATTGTCACTCTTTTTGTCTTACAATCATTTGTACACGTATCTTCATTATAAGTATTTACCATTTTCTATCCATTGTTTGATTTACGTCACACATACAGTCCACTAAGTTTATCGCCTACATTTTGGTCCTACATCGGTAGAATCCAACATTTACATGTTAAAATTGATACCCACGCAGACAACTTTTTAGAATATTAGAACGAGAATAACTTCGTATAAAAATGTTTTATTATTATAAAATTAAACTAGGTACCCATCCACATTCAAGAATCCTGCATCCGTACTGTGCAACTATTTTTAGATGGTTTTCTTAATTTAAATGGAGGAAATTTTCCGTGAAGAGCCTACCGCAGACTCTCAGATTTAATTAGCTCACCGGAGAGTTTGTTCGAAATTTAAATTGATGTCCATTTATTGTGAGATTCGATTCCACGGATCTCATGACTATCAAAGTTTCTTTTAGTTGATAATAAATTGCTAGTCCATGATTACGTATACCCTACTATCCACGTAAATATTATAACTTTAACTATTTTTTTTTTATTTATTTTATTTGCACTCTTACAGCTATTAACACAGGTCTTAGCCTAATACAATAGTGTAACAAATATATTATTTATAGAAAAAAATCTAAAATAAAAGAAGCCTAAGTTACTCCTTATTACATCAGCTACTTGACAATAAAAGTCCCGTCAAAATCGGTCCAACCATTTCAGAGATTATCCGGAACAAACAGACAGACAAATATTTTAATAAATGTTATTTAGGTGTATTCATATGCATGTTTTAAAAAACAGATAATTCAATATTACAAACAGACACTCCAATTTTATTTATATGTATAGATAATTAGACATAGCTTATAATAAATAAAGCGATCTTAGTGAATTAATTCAGAGAACAAAAAAACCGATCTATTTGCTCCGCTGTATGATTTACTCCTGCTTACTTCTCACGTAGCACCACTGGTGGAAATACTGAATGGAACATCAACCATCGCTTTAAGATCAATAGCTTCGAAACTGGTGTCGTATCAAGAACTCGGTGAGTTTGTTTTTATTCTCTAATACGTGTAAATCCAAGAAAAAAAGCCATTATTATTATGATAGGTAGCAAATATGTTTCTTGTGTTATACAAACCGATGGCCTGTCTGATGGGAAGTGGCAACTGTCGCCAATTATACTTATAATCCTTCCTCTAGAATTACTCAATCTATTATTAATATCTGCATTAAAATCCGTTGCGTAGTTTAAAAAATCTAAGCGAACAAACAACGACGACATTTTATATTATGTAAAGATTATCTATTTAAATCTGAGTACGTAATGTATTGCCTATTTAAATAAAGTGTGAAGTCAGTCAGCTTATAACGTTGCAGTCACCAGGAAATATAGATTTTATTTCCCAAGTGCGCCCATTGCAGAGCCGCGTGGCGCTAGCCATGGGAATCAGTACACATGTTCGATTACTGCAACGATCTTGTACAAACTGTTTTCAGGTAAAGTGTTTTCTCTATTCGGCGTGGCAGAAACAATGATGCCACTTGTATTTTCGCCGTTGTATTCCCGCGTGTACATCGCTACACTCCACATCATGCCCGGAGCCATATTTCTGCTGAGTGTCTTGTTCACTATACCGGCGTTGGGTATATTTGGGTACGACAATAGTTTTCAATTACTAATCAGGGATGCCAACTATACTAGGAATCTCGTACAAATGCGAGAGTTTTGACATTTGGTACGAGAATTTTTTCACCCTCATACGTGATTTTAACCTACAAAAATCGGTCAAAATACTTTGATGTAAATTTGTACGAGATTTTTACCTATAAATATCGGTCAAAATATTATGATATACGTTTGTATGAGTTTTTGACCTACGAAAATCTGTTAAAATAATATGATGTACAAGGTCAGAGTCAAATTGAACTAATGTTTGAGATCTTACCACATTTTTTTCTTTGTTTTAAATTATGTGTTTTAAGGTTGCCAACCCTGTTACTAATGTACATTTTGAGTATTTATCACAATGCTACTCACTATATACCTATATATAGTGTAATAAATGTTTTACTATATTAGTGTATTATAACGTAACTTGCGGCTATAGCTTGCTTTAATTAATTATTATACAAAATAGGCCGATATATAAGCATTCAATACAGTGTACCCGCGGTTTCGCGTTATTTTTGGGATAGATTAATCACACAATAATTACACAAAAAGCTCTTGTCGTTAAATTGCATTAACTTACATTTAGTCCGAATATTACGAAAAATATTATATATAGATTATAACGGATAATACTTATAATTAATTTTAAAATATATTCCATTTTTTTTAGTATTCCAGTTGTATTCTTATTATATTTAGTATTTATTAGTATTTCTTGTTTCGAGTTAATGGCAATTAAAATTTTATTTAGTAATATATATATCAAAATTATTTTTTTCAGATATTACGTTTGGATAATTAGATATTTACTGTTTATAATTATAGATGGTTCTACCGGCTCCACAAGGAAGATGATAAAGAGAAACGGCGGAATGCACCCAACAACTGCCCAGTCGCAGATGGTATTTCGGCCGTTACTACGTGAACTATATTATATATTATATTTATTTGTGATATAAAACAATTAAGCAGTTTTATTGCCAAAACGAATCATTACTTAATGTATTTCTATTATTTTTTTTAACTGCATTTACATATATGCCATTATTACAAATATTCAGTGTGGACACCTGACCACCGTCATTCGAAGCGCTATGACCTTTCCCCCTTTGTGATCAAACTCCGGCCGTTATAATCTATATATTTATTAAAACTACTATGTACAAATACATTAACTAAACGTGCACATTTCATTACAGACTGGCACGTAATGAAGTAGATTACCGCAAAATAACACATAATTCGATAAAAAAAAAGTTATCTTCAATACCTATTGTTTTTGGTATGAAATTAACTCAGATACACTTTGTAGAAAGTAGTCTGCGTGGATACTTCAATCACATTTATAAGAGCGGTCAAGCAAGTTGTATTTCGGTTGTAAGTTGAGATAAGGCAGGGAAATTCAGGATAAGGCGCATGATTATAGAAGGCGTTTTAATCCCTACAGAATGACATGATAATAGAAGGCATTGAAGTCTTCTGGAATGTCAACGCATGAGTGGTGTCAATGGTTGTCACATAATAACATGATGTCTGTAGTGAATTCATACATAGGTATACCTAAAAATAAACTGTGAAGAATTTCTGTACCTAATAGACAAGAAATAAATTGATTCTAGAAGTAATTTTAAAAAAGGAACCCGCGTGTAATTTTATTATTTAATAAAATTACTAATCTATTTTTGTATACGGAGAATCGTATCTATATGTAAATACTTTGTTATACAATATACTTATATAAACTTAGAAATATTATTATATAATAAAATATACTAATGAAATTTTAATTAAATTTCTCTTTCACGTGCTTTATATTGTATCGTAACTACTAAAAACGTAGTCATTATATACTGACTAAATTTTTATTATTGTTACAAGAATTTTTAAAAGTAATATTCCTGTTTCAAGAAATAGCCCTAAGAAGGAACTTGTACTTTTACTAAGGTAAAGTAATGTAAAATAATGAAATATATAAGAACATATTGCTAACTTTAGTCACTAGTGTAATATACGTTTACGACTGCTATCTCAGATAGGGTAGTCAAAGGTCACCAAATGTCGACATCGTGGTAACATATTCTATGGCTATATAACTTTATATATATGTAAAAATTACGTGTCAAGTTGTTTGTCCGCGAAAGACTCCTAAATTTTATATACTTATGTGCGTCATATATACAAAAAAAACACCTGTTTCTTCCGGTTTAAATCATGATGAATCTTCGGAAAGAAGATAATTATATTTTGAAATATCAATTACATTTTTTGAGGCTATCCTGGTTATCTCAACGGTATTTATAAATTTTAATATCCTACGATATTCATTTTATAACCAATACCACTTTGTTTCAGCTTTTTTACATGAAAGGGCAAATTGAGGTAGTTATATATAGATATAAATGGGGTTTTTTGTAACATGAAACATTATTTACACATTGAAAAGAAAACAATATTTTATTTTAATAAATATTCTACTAGATGTTATACATAGAAAGAACACACTATACTCATATTAATTACACTTACTTATAAAGAAAAGTTAAAGACGTATATCAGAAATTTTTAACGTGTACGTGTACTCATGAAATAAAATATCTTTGACAATAACTTCGAACTTAGTCATTAGTTTCGAACAATATAGATTCTATTCTCCCAATTTTCATCATGACCATCGTCCCTCCATCAAAAGTTTTCCAGAAACTTCTTCAATCTCAAATTTCCTCCAAACACTGGTATTTTTTTTAATGGATGATAATGTTGCTCCGCCTGTGCTAACGGCCTATGCTAGCGGGGCACCAGTGGAGCATTATAACACAAGCATGAGGTCAGGTTAGTTAGCCCATTGTGGCAAATTCGACAGGAATTTATCATGATAGTTTCTAGGGGGTCGCTATCAACCTGACAGCGCTGTTAACCTGACAACCAAAGATCCCATTGCTCTTTAATCTTTAGTCGACATAACTAACAATCCTCTTTCCTCCTGATATTTGATATTAAAACCTTGAAAATAGAGTATACTCCTTATAAAAAGACCGGTGACTCGCTTGAAATTCTTTTAGTGTTCGGAGGCACATGGATGGAGGTAATCACTTCTTTTCAAATATCCGGAAGTTCCTTTACCGCATAACTAAAAACATCTTAAATTAGATTGCGCAATACATTTACTTAATTTCGAAATGATTGAACTTGGTTTTCTTTCATTAAACAAAATCGTACATTATCTTATCGTCACTCACTGATGTGTGGCACTTAATAAGATTAAAAATAATCTTCTCTAATTGTCTGAGTATACCATTTTATTTTATTATCGTCAACTTACCAAATTACACTGATAACATTATAATTTAGTAGTTATCCTTATTTATATATATATGTGAGATTGATGTTTATTGCCTAAGTAGTAAGTATTCAATAATTTTGAAATTTCTTATAAATGCAGTATTTTTAAAGGATTTGTTTTGTGCAACAGTCGGAGCTAACAGTTTAGCGCTGGCGGAGCAACAGTGGAGGATGATAAGATGAGCGTCAGGTCACTTAGTTAGTTAGTTATTATCTTGGTAAATTACCATTTACTACGTTGGTTTCAATGTAATAAAATAATCACAGATATATATTTCTTATACAAAAGGTGTTTTATTTGAATTGATTTCCAAAATAAAATTTAACAACACTCCAATTACAGTTTTCAAATTTAAAACTGTATCATGACTTACATACCTATCTACAAAATATTAAAAAAAAATACGAGCTGAGTCGTTCGTCAGACCTTCTCATCTCGAAATGATCCGAACTGACGGTAGCTAGATTTGACAAGAGTCTGTAATAGATCTACGTGAATAAAGATATTTTGAATTTGAATATCATTCTACAGTAAGTACGCGATGTTGTTGTAAAAAATAAAAATATAACTGTGATTTTTTTTATAACACGGGACAAACGAGCATGCGGCTCACCTGATGGTAAGTGATTACCGCCGCCCATGAGCACCCGCAACACCAGGGGAATTGCAAGTACGTTGTCGGCCTTTTAAAAAGGAATAAGCTCTTGCCTTGAAGGTTTCAATATCGTATCGGTTCGGAAATACCATTGCTGGAAGGTGATTCCACAATGTGGTTGTGCGGGGCAAAAGTTTCTAGAAAACCGTACTGTGGAAGACCGCCATTCATCCAGATGATCAGGATGGTATTTCAGTTTCTGGCGGGTGGTACGGTGGTGAAACTCAGCAGCTGGTATTAATCCGAACAATTCCTCAGAACACTCCCCGTGATATATGCGGTCGTATCGTCCTATCGTCCAGTGCGAAGCAAACTCGCCCCCATGGGTAAGATGTGATATAATTCATTCATAATTTAAGAGCTGTGCTCTTGTCGGTGGAGCTCCCGCCACCTTCCACGATCTTCCATCAATCCTTTTAGCTATTGATACGACACGGCTCCAACTTTTTCTTTAACTTGCTTGATATAGCTGTGTCTTGGTTTTCCTTCCTCTCTTTCCATCTATTTTTCCTTCAATAATGTTGTTAATTAGTTCGTCGTGTCGTATCAAGTGCCCCAAAATTTTTCCCCGCCTATTCTCAATAATATCTATGATCTGTCTCTTTTCTTTAATCCTCTCAAACACTTCTTCATTCCTTATTTTATCTTCCCAGCTAATTCTTTCCTTTCTTCTCCAAATTTCAAAGGCTTCCAGTTCGTCTCTTTCCTTTTGTGTGTATAACTGTGATATATTATATAAAATTGATAAATATGAAAGGAGTTCTATTTAAATCGGATTCCAAAATCGATATTTAAGGCAGTTTTCAGGCATGCAACTGTGAATCTAGTTACATATCTACAAAATACGTTCCTACCTTGTGAGCAACTGCTCCGCGCCGCGCTTCGCTCGTTCTCAATCTATGTCCGGAGCTAATCTGGCGTTATCGCCATCCCACATACGGAATGAAAGGCTTAATATTGTAAATGTGATATAAGTTGTACATAAAGTATTGAGACAGAGGTATATGACTTTTATAGTGGGGTGAAAGAGATGATTCGTTGTTATGTAACTACGACTCGGAATGATTCCTATTAGGATTTCTAACTGAAAATATAATACGGTTTGGTTCGGAATGAAATATTTGGAAATGAGAATGACATATTTTGAAATTTATACGAAAATAAGTCTGCTTTCCGAACGATTCTAATGATAAATTAAAAATAAATGATTATACAAAAGTACATAGGTTTTGCAACTGAAAAGATAAAACGCGTTGGTTCAGAACTGAATGAATAAACATGTAAAAGACGATATTTTGAAAATTATACGAAAATAAATCTGCTTTCTGAACGAGTGTAATGGTAAATTAAAAATAAATTATTACACAAAAGCAATTGTTATTATATTAAGTTTATTTGAATAAAGATTTCTCTATTTATAGTTCTTTTTTGATGTCGATCAAAAACAGAATATATTACGAGTGCCCAATGTATGATATGAAGCCGATAGGTAACGATATTATGGTGTGACCGGCCGATTCAGTTATGTTGCGGCGCTGTGAGCAATTTTGATTAAAAGCGCTGAATATATTTGGTGTATTTCACCATAGTTTTAAGCTATCTATAGTGCTATATGGTTTTTTTTATACTAGGCAAGTGGAAAAAGTATACAGTGCATCTGATGGTAAACGGTTACCATAGCCTATGGACACCTGAAATACCAGGGCTGTCAGATGTGCGTTGCCAACCCTAAATAATATGTATTTCAGTAGAGATGAGACTGTCAAAAGACTCAACTTTCTACAACCTATTTCTATTTCTGCCAAGCAGCTTACTTTGTCACCTTTGTTTCGTTTGTAGGGTCAGATTAGGCAGTGAAATTCAAGGATCACAAGAATTACATCTTACTCCTCTGGAATGGCAAAAAATGAGTGGCATCACAGGTGTTACATGATAACGTGATGTCCGTAATGCTATTATGCAGTATATAGACGACAGTTACCGTTTACCATCAGGTATGTCGTCACTTTGTTTTTCCACGTACAGAAAAATACTACGCAAAGGAAATATATTAATTATAGATAGAAAGATTAACAAACAGAGAGACCTGAAGTGTTGAAGAATGTAGAAGGCAATAGAACAAATAATTAGACTACTAAATGGCATGTCATAGCGCTCATTAATC